CGGGATATTCCACTTTATAAAACAACACATTGCATTTTATAAGAATAATATGTTGCACTTTATCACATAAAGTAACAGCCAACACAAGCATGCTAACGTATCAAATATCAATGTATTGCACTTTATACAGTAATGCATTGCACCTTATAACATAATTGCACCGTATAAAATGACATGATGCACATACTAAAAATTTATTAATATTGATAATCAATAGAATAATATTAGTTGGTTAACTATCGAATTTAGTCTATTTAAATAATTAAAATAAATGAACATGCCAAATTATATGAAAAAATATTACCAATTTTTTTTATTTATTTTTCTTATAATACTTTTTTTATCTATATTCTTGTATGTATGGTGAGTGCACATTATAGTTATATGAAGTGCACATAAATGTCTATCGAATTACACAAAATCAAATGAGACCCAACTAACATGAATTCGATACATATTTTTTTATGTTGATTAAATTATTGACATTATTTTTTTATATATTAATTATTTCGATAACAAAGTTGCAGTAATTATGTTAATCGAACTAATAACATTAGCTGGATAAAGGTCAGATTTAGTTTTATAAATAAATAAAATAACAAAAAATGTTGAACTATATGAAATATTTTTATTGATTTTTCTTTATTTATATGTTTTTTTACTAAAATTAATAATATTTTTTATATCTATATTTGTATGTAGTGCAATTGCACGTTAGGGTTATACGAGTTGCACGTAAATGCTTAACATATTACACAAAATCGATCGAGATAAAAGAATAAAGTTCAGTACGAAATTTTATATTTTGGCATATTATTATTATATTATTTTATATAACGGTAATTTCGGTATGATTTCGTTTTTTTATTCAAATAACCAACATAAAAAAAAACTAAGTTAAAAAATAATATTTTTTTTATTTTCTTATTTAGATATCCAAAATAATCGAATGCCGAACTACATAAAAATACTATTATTTTTTATTATTGTATTTTTATGTATATTTATTTCATTAAAAACAATATTTGTGTAAAAAAACATGACTTTATTTTTTAATGTGTACATTTTTACATAATAATGTGCAATTTATGTAACATTAATGTACATTAATTATACTTTTATTATATTACATATGGGCCTCATGTGTTAATTTGAAATAAAAAAAAACTTGAACAAATTGCAATTAAGCCCCTGTAAAATATCAAATTTCCCAAAGAATAACCCCCAATTTCATGAAGCAATTTCAGTACAACCCCTCGTCTACGCCGGAGCTCAGCCCGGAAGTTCCAGTCACCATCAATATGGGCACCATCGCCTTCTTCATCGCCGACTACGTGACGCCGCCACAACCCGCCTCTAGGACATCGACAACTCCATCTGCGCAGAAAAAAAAAACGAAAATCGGCCATTATCCACACACATCGTCGCCTCTTTTTGCTGTGTAGGGGAAAGTGGCGACACGGCTGTGGGAGCGAATTCCGACGACGACATCCAAAGGCAGAAGAATGTCGGAAAAAGCTGGTTCGCCGGCGGCCATGAGTTCCATGGCGGATGTCAATGTCGCTGAGGAGGGTATGACGGTGACGTGGACCGAAGTTATTCAGATTCCGTGGGGGGACGTGGTTTCACCGTCAACCACCGCCGTGAGGTTTTCTGATCGGTGGCGCAATTGAGGGACAGACTGATGCGAGGAGAGAGATACAGATAGATGATATAGATAGATACAAAGAGAGAGAGAGAGAGAGAGAGAGAGAGAGAGAGAGAGAGAGAGAGAGAGA